CACACACACACACACACACACACACACACACACACACACACACACACACACACACACACACACAGAAAAGAGAGCTTATTATGGAGTAAGTTTTACTAAATCCAAATCAAACATCCAAGGGCCTGCTGTTTTTAATTTGTACTGTGCAATAAATAGTAAGGACAGGGTTTAGGGTGCCAGACCCATTCTGCCTCAAGATGAATAAATAATAAGTCTCATGTCTGGTCAGTGGCGTATTTGATTGGTTAGCATGTACTTCTCAGACCCAGCGTTGCCACTGTTTTTATGGCGTTTCTAAAACTTAACTCCTGTTTGTTGGTTCAATCTGTTCTGCATTTAAAATGAGCACATTTTAACATGAGCACACTTCTGCATCACATTCTGTGTGTCAGAACTGACTTCCCAACATTTTCAGAGCATTAGGTTAAACTGAAATTCTGTGTTGTGCAGTGAAGACTAAAGGAACAGTGAGCATTTGTTTTTCATTAAAGGGAAAATGAGAGATTATGGCGTTGACTTTGACACTTGAAAACGTGAAATGGCTCTAGCTAAATGACTGGCAGACAGTCAGACTGGGTAACATAAAAATCTCTTCTTTAAAGCTCATTTTTATAGACTTGCTTTGATGTCACATCCCTTTTTTGTTTTTCTTTTGTGTTTTTTGTTTGCTATTAGCATCTGTCCCCTTTGCTTTAATGTACTTTGTGAACTTCCTGCCAGTCTTAAAAGTTATCAGTATTATAAGTATTACTTCAGATTAATCACTTCATACAGAGGAGAAGATGATCTACGAGCAAAAAGAATTCTGAATAAACTACTGAATTTACTGGAAACAAAGGCAGTTTGTCCTACCTCAGCACCCAGTTTAAACTTGATCTCATACATGAGGATAAGTCCGTTGGGACGAGGCGGCGTCGGCCAACGCAGAAACACCCAGTCCTCGTGGCCTTCCCAGGTCACTGGACCCGGGATGTCATCGGCTTTTTCTGGTAAAATCACAGCCAGAGTTTAATTACAATGGGTATCAAAGAAATCACAGCGTGGTCATGTGTGTCCCAGTTGCCTGTAATGTTTCAAAACAAATTGCTGACCTGCAGGCTTGGTTCTGGAGAAGACAAACTCCGCTGCACTGCAACGTACGACCTGTCGATTGCACGCATGAACATCGATGCGGTAAACCGTAAAAGGCTGCAAGCCAGAGATCTGCAGCTCACGTTCTGTCACTGATTGCTCAATGAATTCAAATTCTTGGTCTGCCGGATCCTGTTCGGGGGTGCTGCTGTTGCCAGCGGCTTGAAGAGGAGGGGCACTGCTACTGTTGCCGTGCAGGTGGTTGCGGCGGGAGTGAGTAGAGTTGGCGATGCCAAACAGATCTCTGCGGCGACGATCTGCTGGCCTGAAAAGTAGAGTCAGAGGAGAAATTCTAAGTGTGAAACAGGTGCATTTTAAGTGACATTAAGCCCAACCTGTGTACAACAAGCCAATTTTTCATACTTTGGAGCAAGATGTGAAACACTGCGGTAAACCACAAGACGCTGAAACCTGTCTGTCTCCTTTGTTGTTTACTTCTTAGCTCTTTAGGTTTGTGCTGATTCCAGAGTTACTGGAATACTTTGCTCAAACTTGACGTTTTAAGTGATCTGTTTTGTTTTTGTTGCCACTTGGCTTTTGGTTCAGCAGCTCGGATGAAGCATGGTAGGAACACTGTAAACAGAATTACTGAACAGCTCAGTTAATTTTCTAGTTACTAAACTCTTACAGGCAAAGCACACAGTATGTGCCGAAATGTGATATATCAGACCCACTAACACAGCTGAGCAACAAGAGATTACCAAGTAGTTTCCCGCATGTGCCTTTATTTCATAATATTTAATTGGATGGAATACCAGACAATGTTATTGCCATGGTTTTGTCTCAACCAGAATGAAATGTGGACACCTTTTAAATGGCTTTTGAAAATGTATCCTCAATTATATTTCGTCTAACACCAAGAAAGAAATGTTTTCTTTGGCTAATTATAGTTAAACAGTTCCAGCCAATCCGTAAAAGACTCTGGTAGGCGTGTAATGATCACATCAGCAGAGTTTACAGATACTGTCCCATTCATGTTGGTTTGCACACATCTGTTAAAGGTAAGCTCAAAACTAAGTGCAGAATATATGATGACACTTGATGTTTATCTTTAGATGGAAGTACACAAATCCCTTTATTCTGGCCTGGCAAAACACACCGAGGACTAATTATTCCCAATGGACTTGCACATGTGTGTTGAGACATAAAGAAATAATGTGATGCAGATGTCCGAAGTGCAATGCAGCAGGGTGACTACCTATCACTATCCAAATCAAACAGAAGCTGAGCCACTATGCAGGGAAATGAAGAAAAAGTAAATACATTTGTAGGGAAATTTCAAGAAGGATAAAAAAATATAAAGACTGAATTATCACTCCTCATTAGGCTATGTTCTTGTAACTGCTATGCATAATTATACTGTATAATGACTAAAGACCAAAGGAAGAAACTGATCTCTGTTTTGCTAACCTGAAAAATTACTCAAATTGTGCATGCATAGATATTTGGTTAGTTCACATAGGGGTAAAAATCAAGTTAAATGTTGCCGTAGCTACACAACGGCTGTGCCACATGGAGAAATAACGATCTTGGGTTAATCACCTTGGTGTGAAAATGGAGTTGTGCAGGAAGTTTTCAAAGACTTTTCGGTAAGAGGCGTCAGCAGCTTCAGCCTCCAGGTCTTCCACTGATTTGGGGCAGGGACAACAGCCTTTACCTGCCCCATCTGGATTTAGTTTAGTCGGCTTTGTCTCCTCTTCCTGGTCTCCCACCCCTATGGCAGCGATCCTAATGGGAATCTTCAACTCTGCAGGAGAAAGAGAAAGATTTGTAGTCCGTTTGTGACTTAATTATTAGCAGCAGTGGTGGCAATGGAAGTTTATGCCTGTGCGTGTGTACCTTTGGAGCAATAATTGTGCTGATAGAGCTCTCGGTCTTCCGCTTGCTGCTGCCATCTTACCAAGTAGTACGTCTGGTTGCCATTCGCTGAGACAGGGGGCGACCAGCGTACCACCAGTTGAGTGGATGAGTTGGAGTACGCTCGCACATCCTGAGGCATGGAGGGTGCTGAGAAGCACAGAGGCATAAACTGATTTCTAACAACTTTTGAGTAAACTCTTTTCTCCTTCAGGCTGCCAGTGCAGATGTGATCGTCTGACATCACAGTGCTGCTATGTCTTTACACTGCAGCTGGACTTATTTAAAGCAGCCTTCCATTTCATCTAATTACTGCAGTATATTACAGTTTGTTTAAATCAGATTTTCTCCATCTCTTTGACTTGCAGCTGTGTTTATTTCAAACAGTCTTCCTCTCCATCTCCTTACAGTATGTTTGGATAAAATCCAGAAATGCTTTAATTCTGACAGAGAAATAATCCACTTCTATTTGCAAAACAAGTAGCAACTAAGCATATGCTGTACGGTGGTTTTAAGGTATACCAAACCATTTAGTATAAAAATATACTCCAAGGATATGATTTTCAGTAACATCACAGTTGTTTGCTACTTTTGTTAAACTAATAAGGGAAATAAAGCAGTTGCTAATTCAAACCACCAGAGGTCAGTGACAGTATGGCAGCAGCCAAACAGTAAGGCCAGAAAGCCAGCTGAAAACAATGCTATGCATTGGTGGGGATACAGTAATGCCCCTTTGGGATTGTTTAGGCCGAACGATAGAGGGGAGTCGAACAACACATATAAAGCTACAATGCAGTGGTGGTGAAAACATGGCCACAGCAGGATACCTGCAATTCTGCAACTAAAGATATGGACAAGGTAAATATGTTTTTTTGGTTTTTTTGACTGATTAGTTTACGATTAGCTTTGGCACTAAAACCAAATGATGAATCTTTATTTTTGGGTTGGGTTAAACGGCACCAGTTGTAGTTTGCACGGTTGCCTCATGGCAAGAAGCTTCCTGGTTAGATTGTGCTGTTTGCTTGTGTTCCCTGTGCGCATGTTGGTTCTCCCTGCATATTCTGGTTTCCTCCCACAGTCCAAAGATGTACGTGTTAGATTAATCGGCGATTCTAAATTGATCGTAGGAATTAATGGTTGTGTGTCACTCTGTGCTGGCCTTAGGATGGACTGGTGACCTGTCCAGGGTATACACTGCCCTGGACAGATGGTTTTGAAATAGATAACACACTGAAGAATAAAGCAGTATATGAACGTGTGGGTGAAAATGGGGTTTGCAGTGTCTAGCACTGAGAAGTTAGTAACACCAGAAAAGTGCTACATAAATGTCATTTTATTTAAATTTCCTTCCCATTTCAGCTGCTTATGTTGAATGAAAACAAAGGCATTACTTGGGGATATTTAGTGTCGGCTTAGTCAAACAACAATTTTGCTCTTTAACTCCCTGGTTATTCTAACGAACAAAAAAGTACTTTCTCCACTTTTAGAGAGAAGAAAGTACAGACTGTAAGAGACTAACTTTTGATCTGTGCTGTTGTGGTGTTTACCTGAGGGGCTGGTGCGGATGTAGACCACCTTGCTCTTGGCTCCTGGCATGTGTCTATCCTCCACTGTGAGTGTGATAGCTTTAACAAAGATAGCATATTGTGTCCACGGCTTCAGGTTGGACAGAAGAACTCCAGGATCTGACTCCTTGTCAGGCCTCAGCTCCACATCCACCATATTCCAGCTGTTGGAGCCACAGCCATCCTGTCCCTCAAACTCTGTGATGTTCTGGTAGGGCCTGGAAGAAAAGGGCGAATTATTAATTTATTACTGTACATCTATTTAATTCATGTGTTTTTTATTACACAAATGAAGAATGTCAGCAAAACACAAAAATCTCATCTTCCTCAAAATAATAGTTAACACAGACAGAAAGACCACATTTCCATCGTGTTTTTTACTTTGCTGTATTTGTTTGTTGCCTGGCCCACCATTTTTAATACATCATGTCTTTGCATCAGTTTTTCCCCTCATTCTTCTGCAACGATTTAACACTTAAATGTCCACTTAAAGTCAGCTCCTAATATTCGCCCAATAGTTGTGGCTGGAAAACCATTAAGTGAGATTTCCTATTGCTGATTCTCTGGACATTTGTGAAACTACGTACCAAGTTAATATAAAACTTGATTAAGGTAAAATTTCCTGTATTTAAAGTCCTGTTAATGTTTCTGAAACCTAACCTCTGACAGTTAACTTAAAACATGTTGGCTGATAAAGTGGTGGGATTAAGATTCAGCTCAGTAACACTCAGCCTGCAGATAAACTAAAATAAACAAAAAACATACGCTTCCTTGTAGTAGACAATGAAGCTGATGAGGTCTCTGTAGTCAGGGGGCCGGTAGCGCTGCCATGTCAGCTTGATCCTTGTGCTGCTGGTGCTGTTAGACTTAAATTTCAGAATAGTGCTTTCACCTATGGTTGGAGCAAGGAGGGGGAAAAAAGCGCTTCAGTATGTGTGCATTAATATGCAGCAATTAGTGTTGACAGAGTGGCGCAGTAAATACTGACGTAAGAAGCAGAACAGCATCACGCTCAAAAGAGGTGTTTGCAAACTTCTAGTAAACTAGAGTAACTTCAGCACATGAACTGGACATAGCAATTTAAATGTTTGTGGTTTTCAAACTGAAGCTCATTTTGACCCTTACAGCTGGCTCTGTCGCCGTTGTTTCGGAAATCACTCTCATCAAAGCGGGCCTGGATGCCTGTTTTGTTCCACATTTTGCGGATCTCGGACATGCACAGCTTAGGGTTGGCTCTGAAGAACAGCTTTCCTGTTTTGATGGTCAGATTGTGCTGCTTCCAGTCCCAAAGATACTGTAACTGTTGGTTGTCGAATGCAGAGAAGGCATACATGCTAGAGGGCAGAAAGAGGAGGAGATGAATGGATTACAGTCATCAATATGCTGCTTCGTTCTACATTCATTCGTGTATGTTTATCTATGAGTGTATTGTGTGTATAGTGATTCATGCTAGGCTGAGAGCCAACTTTCCCACCAAGGTTAAGGCCTTATTTTCAGCACGTAATGGAAAACTACACAACATATCCACTAGTGACTTGTCTATTAGGGGAAGCTATGCTAATTGAACAAAATGTAGCTATTTTACTCTTCTCGGTAGATCTCTCTTCTAGCTGGAGGTTTAATGACCCAGTTAGACAGCAGAGGGACTGCTTGACAGCAGGATAAAAATCACCTGGCAAATCCGATTAACCAGGGGCTGACATTTTTTTTGTGTGCTGGAGAGGAGGTTTTTTTTTATGATTCTCTGGGTAACACCCAGACATCAAGGAATGACTGTAATGTGGGCCTTGGGACAGTAAGATTCCTGTGAACACAAACAGATGGAAGAGGGAAACGAAGGCCTCTCAATGACCCTGAGAGAACCTTTCCTGGGACTGTTGGAGGTCATACCTCATTCACAAACAAATAACAAACAACTGCACTTGTTCAAGTTTTGTTGAACTTTTTTCACTAAAGATTGAACATCTTGAGGATGTTGGATCACATCATTCTTATATATTAGCTGAAAATGTAGTTACTCAAGAGTTGTGTTTGTTGAGCACTAATTTTTTTGTGGTTCATAGAGTTTTCAAAAGTAAAATGAGAGAGAGAGAACCACTTTTACCTTTACCTTACACTATAAAGCACCTTGAGGCAATGTTTACTGTGAAGTGGCACTAAACTAATAAAACAGAATTGAATAAATGAATAGAACTAATTAATATTCAGGTGAATCCTTGAGAAAAGTACATGAGAAGAAATGAGCTCAGAGTGTCCCAATGCACAAACATCCGTCTTCACTGTAAGGCATTGAGATTAAAACCTTGGCTGTATGTTTATCCACGTAGAGAAGTGTGTGTGTGTGTGTGTGTGTTCTTACTCTTCATGGAGGTTTTCTCCATCAATGTATCTCAGGCTCCGAAGGAATGCAAGGGAGCTCAGTGTGTGCGAGTGTATGATCCGTACGTAACCAGTCACCCTTTGGATCAGACCTGTGAAACTTTCCAGCTCTGCCACCATGTTATCTAAACACACAGACCGTCACAAACACATTCATTTATCTATTGATGCATTTTACCCTTTAGTACTTCATTGCTGGCTTAAAGAGGACTTATTATCATTTTACGCATTTCCTGTCATATATATGCTGTTACAATGATGGATGCTAATTTTTAAACACGGCTAAAATTTCAGCATGTGTACAAGCAATCACCATGAGTGAAAACTATGAAATATAAAATGGGCTAAATGCTCCATTTCAGACGGTTGACTCTATACTGTGTGAAAGTAAGCAGATATATGTAATATGTTTATCTTAGGCACATGGCCAGGACTTATTCCTGGAACAAAATGGACCTTCAGACATATGACTAAACAAGTGTGTTTCATCCAAAAGGTCTGTAGAACCTAATTAACAGAGGTATCAACATTTTCCTGTCATTTCTGGCCTTATGATAATCATAAATGCATTAAGCTTGAGAACATTAAGCCCCGCTTACAAAAAAACAAACCTGGTTATTTTTCTTTGTTTAAAGTTTAAAACTGCTTTGGAGTGTGCCAGCATTTTTCATATGGGTTAAACCCTGAGACTCTGGCTGTGAGCACAAAAGCTCCACCCACCTACTATTTGCAAACCTTCTATTTATGAAGGGAAGCCAATAAGAGCAAAGGTAGCTTAAAGGTAGGGACAGGGGAACTGAACCAGGTTGTTTCAGTCAGTAGATTAAATCACAGGCTGCACAAAGGCCCAAGAGGAGACAAATAAGGATTATTTTGAACTGGAAATTACCTTGTTACTGTAAAATAATGTTATTATAGAACCATTTTTAAACTGTTGTAATCCATGACGACAGCTTTCCTGAATGCACAATGAAATATATTGAAATTGTTGAGTTCTCATGTGACTTTCTCAAGTAGCAAAATCTGTGATAACTTCTTTTTGCGTCTGATTTAACGGTGTGAATATAACAGATCTTCATAATGTTCTACACCAGCTCCTCAGGCCTCCCTCACAAAGAAATGCGAGTATTAACAGTCGTATTGCTGTGTTACACCGCAGTACTTACGGCCTCTGCGGATGTTGATTTGCAGGTGGCCTTTGATAACAGTGCAGCCTTTGAGAGACTGAGCAGCAGTCATGGAGTCGATGACCTTCCCATCACATACTTTATCACACAGACCATCACAAGCTGTGCAAAACATACTGGAGACAGACAGAGAGAAAGGCAGGAGACAGTGAATGTACAGCGGCGTTCTTGACAGGCATCTATTTGCCAAACTGGTTTAGCGGGGTTTTCTTTCTTTCTTTTTTAAAATTTCTGTCCCTGAAAGATTTGACGTCAACATTTCACAGAAGCAGCCAAAGCATGTCTAGGTGAAATTCCTCGGCATGCTTAACGGCCTTCACTATTTGGAAGGCCATACAGAGACTATGATGGAACTAAATTCAATATTAGCAAAGCAACAATAAGCAACAATAAGGAGGGTGTTAAACCAGGCTAAATTCAGGTTGAACAGCAGCTCACCTGTTTGGTGCAGCACGTGTGTACCCAGATGGACATTCAGGCATGCACTCTCCTCCATGGATAACGTATCTGTCAAGGTCGGTAAATTGGGCTTTGGAGCAAAGCTCGGCACTGATGCAGCTCCAGCCCTCGAACTTGTAGGTGCCTGGGGGGCAGTCAGCCATGCAGCGGCCTTGGTAATAGTAATGCACACATGCAGTACATGCTGTGTCACTATCGGGGACTGTGCAGCTGCCCAGACACTGAGGGTGGCAGCACTCGCCGTCTGCTGTGCACGCTCGCAGTGCACACTTCTCTGGGCACCCCACTGTGGAGACAGAAAGAAAGGGGGGTATTTTAGTCAGACAATTTTCCCCAGAAAATAATAAAAAACAAAACAAAACAAAACATCAGAACATGACATTAATTTTTAGGTACATAGCCTGTAGTTAAAAATTGATTTTCTGCTTTACAAGAATTCAAAGCACTTTTAAGTGTTTCTCATACACCTATCCACACAAACTCAAATACATGATGGCAGTGCTGCTGTGCTATCATCATCTTGCTCAAAGATACTCTGGCCTATGGAGAGGCTGAGGTTCCAACAGCAAACCCTGAGTTGAGTTGATAACATGTTCTATTACTCGAGCCCCAGTGGTCATTTAGTAAAGATGACTACAGATTTAACTGCTCCCTTATACGTTTCCTATGTGAATGTTTTGCACAGACGATGCACATGTAGGTTTGCTGCAGCAGGAAAGATAATCTCACCCTGAAGGCAGACCAAAAAGGTTTTCAAATTTCCAGGTTGTAGCACAATCGTAGAATGCCATGTGCCATTATTATTTACCTGGCACACTTAAAGAACAACGTAAATCTTTTAATCAACATGAAACAAAAAAGCAAACAAACTTCTTAACAAACAATTGTGAAGAAGAAGAAGAAGACCTCATTAAAACCTCAGCCTGGTTTAAAAGCCAAAAAATAAACACTGTGTTTTAAATAACTTTTAAAATAACTCCAGATGTGAAGGGGGAGTGTGTACCACCATTTAGGAGCAGCTACTGCAAAAGGCCAATATCCTCTGTTTTAATTTGGACTTTTAAAAATATTTTTATTTAATATTCTACCGTCACACCATTCAAAATGTAATATTTCGCCCTTAATACCACTACAAACAAGTTAAAATTTTGGAGCAAACAACAACACTGATTTATTCCCACTGATGCAAATCCATATTTAACAACCAAACAGAGCTTGCAGTGAACCTAAAACCATAACACATAAATATAACCAGACAGCCTTCAGTGTGAACATGCCTCTGTTATGACACTACTGGCTTCAGTTCTGAACAAATGATTTGCATTTACCAGTGAATGACTGACAATGCATGCATGCACACCCGCCCAGATTAAAGCTTTTAAATACACCAAGAGCCACATATGAGGTACTCATGCAAGCTGCTTCATATCCAACCAACCACATTTGAATTTTTGTTTTCTTAGTCTTACTATTATAAAAGGCAACCCAACCATGGGGAGCCACAATGCATGTCTCGATCTTGGAAAAATGGGGATTGTTGTGTGAGGAAGAGCATCTACTGTAAAATCTTTGCCAAATCAAACACACAGATTACGAAGAACAAGATTTCCATATCAGATAAGTTGGGGTGACAGAGGAGGATGCTAAGGATAGGGTAAGATTGAGACAGACGATCCACTGTGGCGATCCTTTAAGGAGCAGCCAAAGGAAGTAGTCGTGGTAGTAGTAGTATTCTTAAAATTACAGAATAATTATAATTATAGAATTCTAAAAAGGTGCTTCAGCTGTGCTTTCATCCTTGATCCACTCCGGATTTTCCAGCCAACAGAGCTACAAATAACTCGTCCAGTTGCTGTGGTGTTCCTCTAAATAAGAGGATATTGTAACTGATGACAGGAAAAAGTGACTGAGGAGTTCCAGAAGAAAAACACCATATTGACATGCATATAGAGAGCAGCCACATCTCGTCATGGCCTTTGTCTCTGCGGCGGGGGAATTTAAATGAAGCGTGATAGACAACAAAACACCAAGGCAGCTTATTTGACTAGCTGACACATACCTTTCACCATCACCATCACGCAGCTGAGCAGCAGCAGCCTTTAACCCACCTTTACTGCAGCTCACTGCTCGCTGCTTCAACATGACATAAGCTGATTGGCTCAAACTGACTCTAAACAGTAACGTGTCTGCCACAGAAACAAACACTAACTGCTATGGAAACACTGTAAATCCCTGCTTGAAATTATTTGGTTGTGTGTCCTTTGAGGCATAAACAAAGGGACAGTGATTTCTGAAGCCAAAGAAACTGTAATTTTGATTGTGTCATCCACATAGGTTAGCCAGAGGCTGTTTAAACCAGCACCAAACAACACAAAGTTATAAGAAATGATGTGTTGTTTATAGAATGCTGAGCGATAAAACACTGGAACACGTTTCAACATGCTGCCTCCACCAACTCTGTCAAACAAACCAAAGACAACAGGCCAGAGCAGATGCGTATGGCTACTCCCCTTTATTTATATTTCAATGATTTATCCACAGAGACTTGTTATATTATATTGAAAGATCTGGACACACAGTATAAAGCATTACAAGACAGATCGTAGTGGATGATAGCACAGACTAAAACACAAAAGAAAGATTGAACAGATGGTTTTAACCTGTTTATGTTTGTGCTTAAAGAATAAAGATTAGGAAGTTTGTGTTTGGTTCAGGGGTTAATGCTGCATTAATACAATTTCTGAACAACTCTCAGACACTAAGAAGCAGCAACTTACAAAAGCATACCCACACTGCTGTATTTATTAACTGTTAATCTGCTTTTGGGGCGATCGTGGCTCAAGAGTTGGGAGTTCGCCTTGTAATTGGAAGGTTGCCGGTTCGAGCCCCGGCTTGGACAGTCTCGGTCGTTGTGTCCTTGGGCAAGACACTTCACCCGTTGCCTACTGGTGGTGGTCAGAGGGCCCGGTGGCGCCAGTGTCCGGCAGCCTCGCCTCTGTCAGTGCGCCCCAGGGTGGCTGTGGCTACAATGTAGCTGCCATCACCAGTGTGTGAATGTGTGTGTGAATGGGTGGATGACTGGATATGTAAAGCGCTTTGGGGTCCTTAGGGACTAGAAAAGCGCTATATAAATACAGGCCATTTACCATTTTTGATTTTCTTTAAGTATAAGTAGCAGAAAGAATAGCAAAGGTATTCAGGAAAGAGGAAATCAACCAGTACAGGTCGGCTTTTCTGCTTTAATATGATTAAAAACAGAGTGCCGTAGCAATTGACAAAATTGTTTACTTTTAGATGATCAACCAATCAATTCATTTCAATTTCACATTTGAAATGCACCAAAACTACATTTCAACTGTGAAATTACATTCACTTTGGCAATACCTATTGGTTTGTGAAGTCGTGTTTTAAAGCCTCAACACTAACAGACCTGGTACATAAGATGCCTTCATAAAGTCCATTACACATCATTGTTGTATGTCCAAGTATTGCTATCCACCCCTTATAGTGACAGTTACAGTGATTCAGAAATGGTTGTCATGAGGGAGTTTAAGTCCATTTTAAAGGAACGAGAGGATAACTCTTTCAGTCAGTGTGACCGTTTTAATGATCAGTTGTTGTATATTTTTCACATATTTGTACTCGTTTGTATGGACTGTTGTATTTTCTAATTGTTATGTTGTTATGTGTTGTTTGAGTTTTGATTTTTACTGCCATGATGCCAGAGATTTGAATCTCTGAGATTTTTCTGGATAAATAGAGGATTAATAATAAACATCCAAAAGTGTGGGGGCAATGAAAGACCGGCAGCTCTGCATACAGCAGGAGAGAGGAGGGAGACACTGGAGAATTTATTTACCACGTTCAGAAAGGAAGTACCTTATGCAAAGAGCACTGAATCTTAGATCACATTGTTTAAATGCAATGATAAAAGAGTCAGTCTTCCTTACATGAACATTTAAAACCGTATTAGAGCAAGCTGTTTATTTGTATGTATAAAAGCAGTTAAGAGGCACAGTAGCCTAATATGATGTATTAGATAAAGAGTATTAGGTGTTTCTACAGTAAAGGTAGGGGTCGTTAAAGCAGATGGTCCGGCATATTTGATTTGACACACATTTTACGCATGATGCTCTTCTTGACATAAATCTTCCATTTATCCAAGCTTGGGACGTTCACTAGTAGTACACTAGCTTGTAACCTCCTGAGGCTCGTTTCTCCTCCCAGAATCTAACCAGAGGTCCTTTGCATGCAAAGCAAATGCATTAATCACTACACCAAGCATACACAACTATTCCATGGTGTTGGGGGCCTGCAGATGATGACCAGGCTTTAAAAAGGTTTTGTTCCAGGGTGAAAACCTGCTTATTTTTATTAGAAAGTCGGACATTTTACCGTAATAGTCTATAGGGAGTGACTCACTTTTGGAGCCAGCTTTAAGTGGCCGCTGGAGGAACTGCAATTCTGCATTTGCTTCATTTTTCAGTTCCAGATGCTGCTGCTTGGTTTTTAGATTAGATTAGATGAAACTTTATTAATCCCTCAGGTGCGTTCCCCCAGGAAATTCAGTAATTTCCGTTCAGTTTCAACACGTTTCGACATGAATATCACATTTATTTTTGTTTACAGAATTAGAAATGCGAGACAGAAACAACCAAAAACAACAACAAAAAACAACAACAACAACAACAAAAAACAACAACAACAACAACAGTGACCTACAACTTGCAAAAGCTGCCAACTATTTGTTGTTCAGTTTTGTGATTATGATTTTTACCCTTAACACTACTACCGTTTGTATATTTTGCAAATCCTGCATGACCAAATATTGAATACTGACACCATCTAATACAGAAACCTTTCAGTACACTTGCCTAGCAAATTCCTAATTATAATGTTAACTAGGGCTATTTGATATAACGATATATATCGGAGGACGATATGAAAACGTCTATCGTTTCATTTTATGCTATCGTTTGTTTCGTGGTGTCGCAAAATCAACTGTTTACGGCAATATTTTTTCATCGTTTTGATGGTCACTGTATGATTTCCTGAAGTTCTCTCTTCCTCTTATATTTAATATAAGCACACTTAATTGAGGCCGTTTCAACTTATGCAACACTCGACTCCAGGTACACGAGGCCCAGCTGAAAACACTTCACGCAAGTCGACTGGCCCGAGATTCACAGAATTAGCTGAAAATGTAAAATTTTTGTGATATATATCGTTATCGGGATGATAAATGTCTTATATCGGGATATGAGATTTTGGTCATATCGCACAGCC